TTCTACCAAGTTTGATATCTCTTCTGTTACCCATGCTCTCTTTTCCATACCTCACTGTGTGGTACTTATTGTCATATTTTTGTTAAGTTATACAAAGCAAAGAACTGCTGTGGCTCTAAAAGTGACTCAGTTTCCTGCCATGACTGAATCAATTGAGGACTCACAAAATTTTATGAAGACTGACTGACTGAAATTGTGCTTAATTTGGATTAGTTACATTTGGCTGATAGCCAGTCTGCTTAATTAGAGCAGTATTGGTACTGAACCAATGTGTCAGATTGGTGCATCTGTAGTATCTTCCAAAGTTACAAATTTAGTACAAAATTATCTTTCTGTGTTCCAGCAAAAATAGCGATTCCTTGTGGAGCTGTGGCGGACCATTACATCCTGGAACTACGACCAGGACACAGATTTATTTTATATATTTATTTTTTATTTCATTTGTTCATCAAGGATAACACACATTAGTTAACATCAAATGATATAAATATGTCACATTAGGCCAAAGGGCAGGTTGAAGTGTATATTGAAGAATATAGTAAAAGGAAACACAGTCCAAATAAAAACCACTGCAAAACAGAAAATCATACAAAACGGAGCAACACTATGCATTCGCACATACATGTGCATGATGCAGCCAACATTGGATGTCACTTGTAATACTCGGACTTTACACGCTAAACACAAATATATCAAATATCACCTTGGCACTCTTGTTTTTTTTTCAGCAACCACACAGTGCTCTTAGTTTTCTAGTAAACATACCATATGTTGTCAAGTTTCTCAAATCAGCTGGGAGTGTGTTATAGTCATGTGGTGAAGGAAATGGCCGATTGGCCAAATTAACATAACCTTCAGCTCCACCAAATCTCTGTTCATCGTATACTGTGCTGCTATGCTGGAATACTACCAGGCCTCAGAATTGTTGTGTGGTGATTTAACACAAATTCACTGATGAATATGCAGCATTAAACTTTAAAACTATGTAACATTTTTCAAATGTTTTTGTTGTAGAAATCTGCTCCAAAACTTGTCTTAATGTGGAGAGGTGCTGTCGAAGCCTCCTGTGACCCAGACTCATTGAAGAGCACTGGCAGCAGTGCAGAGATATTAGCTTCTAAAAGATTTTGAGCGGGATCGACCTCTCTAACCAGAGATTTTCAATCATTTCTGCTTGATCAGTATTCTCATTTACTGCAATTTCATAACAACAAATATCTGAAGAGCTGTACAGAGTGTGGTGGAGCAGGGAGAGGGAGCAGAGTGGACTGATTTGGAGTCTTATGCTAGTGCTACTGTAAGTTATATATAATTTAGCTGTTAAATAATGATGGACCTTAAACTAGATTTGGATGAAAACCTACCCATCGTATTTAGAATCACATTGATATCATTATTAGTTTTTAAAGTTTTTCAAGAAAAATTATATTTCACTAATGGTTTGTGGTGGATGTAGCTCTGTAACTTTTGAAGATGCGTCACATTTGTTGACAGCCCACTATAGAAATATTTGTGGTCTCACAGTAGTGAGCTTTGTGTGAACCCTATAAATGTAAACATTCTGGATCACTGCATTTGGAATATTACTTGGATCCAGATCAGACTTTGATGTATCTCACAGTGGTGAAGAATCCTTTAAAAATTTCCTGGATCCAGATGGTGATCCAGATCAGTATCAGACTCTAATGGATTGTTGTGTGGTCCACACCCTACCTATCAAAAAAAAAAAAATCATCAAAATCCATTCTTTACTTTTTGAGTTATGTTGTGGGAAAACCAACCAAAAATGCTGTAAAAAATAATTTATTGCTAAAGAGTATGCACACAGTAAAACTGGAAATTTGTACTTGATTATATTTGATTCAAAGGCTTAACAAGAGTCTAGTTGCTGTGTTTATGCACACTGAGCCCTGATTGCAGCTATGAGAATGTCTGTCTGCTTTGCTAGAGGTGTGTTTCTGCATCTTTCTTCAACTTTAACAGTGTCTTCAGTATCAGTAACCTCCACCAGCACCAGAAGCTTGTGGGACACAACACAAGCCACTGTAGTCCTGATGTTTAGCTACAGTTCTGAGGAGGCATATGTCAGCTATTAGCCTCAGAGCCTCAGCATGTAGCCCCATTAGCTATGCTTTAACCTTTTAAGGCGCAACTATAAATACAGCTTGAGGTTTTGGGGCACTGTGGCATTTGCACTTGCATAATTCAGTCTTGGGAAGTACTGTATTTATGATTATAGTAACCAGTACTGTAACTCTTTCAGCACACATATAGCACGTAGGCATTGTATTGAATT